TAGTTAGAATTGTGGAGTTCCAGGCTCAGCAAGGGATCCTGCCTCAATAAATACAACAGAGAGTGACTGAGGAAGACAGCTGACATCAACTTTGGGCCTCCACATGTATATGCATGATGATTTGCCTACACACACATATATCGGCACACATGCTAGTAAGTTATGGAAGCGCTTCATCTGTGTTTAAGTCAGGCTCAAAGAAATGGATGACATTTTAATTTGGGGAGTCATACATTCTAGACTCATCTTTGATTCCTAGTTCACTGTCCTGTGGATCAGTATTTTAACCAGTCCCTGAAAGGGCTATTTCTGTGGTGAAGTTACGTTTAATTTGGAAAAGTATAACAAGATTCCTTAATCTATAGAATGACTGTTTAACTAGAAAAATTCTCCAGCATTTTAGTTATTTTATAGGATATAAGAAAAAAGGCTAAATTTGACATTCAAGGTCTCTATATTAACATAATTTCTGTAAGAATATCTCAATGGTCATGTTTACCTTCATTATCTTAGACTTAGAGGACTTTTGGCCACTCACATTTTTTGTTTTTCCTGAAAATTCTGATGTTTAAAGGCAATCCACATTGGGTCATTTTATGTTTACTCTCTAGAAATGGCTAAAGCACTGGTTCTAAACTGGAAATTTTTATATCCAGAGACATTTAGTAGTATCTCAAGACATTTTGCTTGTCACAATTGTGGGTAGAAGGGTGTGTCTACTACTGGCCAAGAGAGTACGGGCTAGAGAGGATGTTAAATATCCTTAAACAGAACATAAATCTCAACAGGGAAGAACTACTCAGCCCAGGATGCCAGCAGTGCTGAGGCTGAGAAAGCTTGTGCTTTAAAAATTGATATAGTCTTGGGGGCTGGAGAGATAGTGCAGCAGTTAAGAACACTGACTGTTCTTGCAGAAGACCCAGGTTCGAATCACAGTACCCACATGGCAGCTAACAACTGTCCATAACGCCAGTTCCAGGGGATCTGACAGTCTCTTCTGTCCTCCACGGGCACTGCATGACATGGGTGCACTTACCTACATGCAGGCATACACGCATACACATAAAATAAAAATAATAAAATATTTTTAAAAATTGATATATTCTAATTCTAAAATTATGTTCTTCTATTTAATTTAAATACATTTGAAAGAATTTACTTGCTAAAAATTTAATTATTAACTCTTTTCCATTTTCAGAAACAATGTATAAATGCATTTACAAGTCAAAACTGATACCCATTATTAAATACCTCTGTAATCTTTTGAAGAAAAACATTATCCTGTGCAATGCTGCAGTAACACAGCAGGAGACCTCTTTAAGAGTTATACTTTACTTGTCAGAATTTAACAGCTGGTAAAGATGTTAAAGAGCTGCTTTTTGCAAGATTTACAAAAAGGATATTTTACTTCTGATATTTTAATGATAGCTTTTATTGGCTATTTTTGAACCCTATCTAAGGGATGCAATAATACTCCTACACCAGAGTGTTAAATAAAATAGTAAGTATATATTTAAATGGTACCTACTGCACGGGTATTAGCTATTATTGTATTATACATACATACATACATACATACTTACATACCTGGACCAGACAGGCTGACCCATAAGCCCCAAGGATCCTCTGTCTCTATCTCTCCAGCCCCAGGATTACATGTGCCTGTCACATTTGGTTTTTAGAGGGGTGTCAGGGGTATGAACTCGGGATTTATGCTTGCATGGCAAGCACGTTACCAACACAACCATCTTCCCACCTCCATGAAAGCCTATTTCTATTAAAATTTGTATTTGTTTATTTTTGTGTATGAGTGTTTTACCTGCATGTAAGCGCACCCATGTAATGCCTGCAGAAGCCAGAAGAGGGCATCATAGCCCCTCTACTGGAGTTAGGGATAGTTGTTAGTTGCCATGTGAATGATGGGGAGAGAACTGGTGTCTTCTGGAAGAGCAGCCAGGGCTCTTAACTGTGGAGCCATCTTCCCAGCCCCCCAAATCTATTTCTATATCTTTATTTAGAACTATTTTTGGCAATCTAACATTTATCAAGTTTCATATGCCACAGAATGCTAATCTCTTTACATATCTCATCTAATCCTTTTACTAATCTTCTGGGGTGTACACATATCACTCGCATTTACCAAAGAGGAAATTGATGCTTATAATTTAAATTGTAACTCATACCCATGTGTTATGTCCAACTTTGCCTCTTAACTGTTTTTAGGCTGCTATAACAAAAGATGGATTAAGTTTTATCATGTATTCAAAGGCAAACAATACCAGTCCTTTAAAAAAAATGATACCATGGGGCTGGAGAGATAGCTCAGAGGTTAAGAGCACTGGCAGTTCTTGTAGGGGATGTGCATTTGAGTCCCAGCACCCACATGGTTGGTAACAGTTATTTGTAATCCTCATTCCAGGGAATCTAACACCCTCTTCTGACCTCTGTGGACACTGCATGACACGGGTGTGCTCACATACAAGTAGGCAAAACACTCATACACATAAAATAAAAAATAAATAAAATATTTTAAAAATGATCCAATAACAAATGATCTCACACCTTTTAACAACTATACACACAAGGAAACAAATATTGTTTGAATGAGAAAGGTCATAAGTATAGAATGTATAGAGAAATTTTATAGTTAAACTTTCTTTGGTATTTTGATATTCCCATGTTCTTATAATTATTATTGCTAAGTAAAATTAATTTCCTTCATATAATACAGTATAAATATGTTCAGTTCAGTCTTTCATACATTTTCTAACATGTCAGCAGCAATGGAATAAACTCCCAAGTCACACATAATGGTTCCAGATAGTGTCAATGAACTTTTTTACTATACAGACTCCATGTGATTTTTGTAAGAACATTTTGTAATTTTGTAATCAAGTACACATTTTTGTGCACTATAAGCAACATCTCTGTAATTTTTATCCTCACAAATAAAAAACAACCTATAAAAGAACTTTCTTTCATTGATTTTAAAAACAGATAGTAATATGTAATGTTTTCAAATCTCTCATGTTAATAACACTTAAGGCAAAATGCTGAAGAAGTTAAAACAAAACTCAAAAGAAACACAATTTTCAAAAACTAGGTCTATCCAGTTTATACCAAATGTTCCAAGAGCAGCACTGAGGACAAGAGTGATAGTACTGAGAATAAAAACAGGTTTAGAGCTGGGCGTGGTAGCGCATACCTTTAATCCCAGCACTTGGGAGACAGAGGAAGGCAGATCTCTGTGAGTTCAAGGCCAGCCTGGTCTACATAGTGAGTTCCAGGACAGGGAGACCCTGTCTCAAAAAGACCAAAAAACCCCCAAAAACTAAAAACCAAAAAACCAGGTTTAAAAGGTCAGAGCTTGTACTAAGGATGCAGCTCTGTGGACACACACACACACACACACACACACCCAGAGGTCAGAGAGTATATTTACAAATGCAAATAATTTCAGACTCTCAGTCATTGAATGCATCTGTTGAATTTATCTTCCTAAGTAATATTCAAACTGCCTTTGAACACTAAAAATAACACTGGAAAGATCATTCATTGACTTTATGTGCATCACACTGTGTATTTACTATAAGGAACCATAACACTGAGTGTATTTATGGGAAATGTAAAGACTAGTCACAACAGGAGATATGCAAATAACTGATATGGGATTCAGAGATGACTCTAAGAGTCCCTAGTCAGTAACTCAGAGGAAGGAACAGATTTTTAAAAGAACAAAAGAAGACAGCATGTTCCTTTTTTTCCCCCGGTCTTTTTGAGACAGGGTCTCCCTGTAGCCCCAGCTGTCCTGGAACTCACTATGTAGACCAGGCTGGCCTTGAAATCACAGAGATCCACCTGCCTCTGCCTCCCAAGTGCTGGGTTTAAAAGTGTGCACCATCACACCTGGCAAGAATGTTCCATTTTAAATATATTTAATGTGACATGTAAGAAAGATGACTAGAAGGAAATGAACTCCTTGACTAGAAGGAGTTCATTGAGATCAGTTGTAGAGAATCAGATTTTGGGATGTAAAGTCAAAAGGAACCACGAAGGACTTTCAAACAGGACCAATATTCATTTTATTTAAGGAGGAAATGAGATCAGATAGAAGGAACTGACAGAGGTAACCAGTCTGGAGGCTATAGTAATAATCCATGTAAAAGTTATGAAGATCAAACTAAAGCAGAGAAATAGCAGCTACTAAGAAAGCTCAATAAGCTAGGCGTGGTGGTATACACCTTTAATTCCAGCAGAGGCAGGTGGATCTCTGTGATGCCGGCCTGGTCTACACAGTGAGTTCCAGGCTATCCAGGGCTACACAGAAAGACCCTGTCTTTAAAAAAAAAAAAAAAAAAAAAAAGAGCAAGCTCAAAGTTTTGGATATGTGCAGGTATAGAACAGAGTCTAAATCAACTTCTAAGATAAATAACTAAAGAAGGAGTAACTATTAAGAGTACTGTTTCTGATATTTTTCAGAAATGCTTGATAGCTATGAAAAAGGAAACGAAAATGTATGACTGTTTATAAAAGGGGATGAGTGGTTGGGGTGGGGGACAGGTAGAAGAACCAGACAGCAGAGGCCTCACTGAAAAACAAAGATTACTAGTGAGATGGCCAGGCAGGTTAAAGTGCTTGCTGCGCAGGTCGATGACCTGAGTCTGTTCACTGGAAACAGGAGGAGAAAACCAACTTCACAAAGTTTTCTTCTGATCACCACATTTGCTGTAGCATACATGTGCCCACATGTCATACACATACACACACTAATAAAATAAAAAATACTTACATAACTAATACTGAACTACAAATGCTGAAAATTTTAGGATACCTGTGAAGTTACAATCACATGAAGAAATGAAGAAATTAGCTGTTTAGTCTTAAGATTTTACTATTTCATCACAAAATTCAATAGAATGATACTTTTTAATCAGCAGAAAGATATGCTGATCATTTGTTAGCACACATGCATATTTTCTAAACCGGTACTATGCACTTACCTGCTTTATTACTAAGCTTATATAAAAAAGTTTGGCGAGGGTCTGAATGATCTCGACATGTCAGTTGCAAAAGAGAACCTGATTTTTTCCATTTCTGCATGAACCAGAGACCTAGAGAGTTACATATGGTATGAAAGTATAAATGGAAACAGTAATATATGCCAAGGTTATTAATTTTAATATTTCATAAATTAACATTTTGTTGCCCAATACAAATTTATTTCAAAAATATTTCTATTCTCTTATAACAAATATAAACAAATTTACATACATAGTTTATCTATAGGTTACTAGTGACTGATAGAGGGCTTGCTATTTTTATCCCATCAGTAATGAAATACATAATAGTATACAAAGAACAAACTTGGGAACATTGTATCTTTAGATATCCTACTTTCAATCATTAAAAAAAAAATTAGGGCCGCAGAGATGGCTCAGCAGTTAAAAGCACTGACTGCTCTTGCAGAAGACCTGGGTTCAATTCCCAGCACCCACATGGCCGCTATGAACCGTCCTTAACTCCAGTTCCAGGGGAATCCGAAGCCCTCTTCTGACCTCTGCGGCATTGCACGACATGTGTACTACATACATGCAGGCATTACACTCATATACACAAAAATAAAAAATAATAAAATATTAAAAAAAAACCTTTTTAGAGAACTTCAACTGGAACAGATCTCAATGCCTATGCACTGAACTTTCTGTTTATAGACAAGTACAAGTAAGTTAGAGTAGATGAACTTAAATAGTGCTTGGAAGGAACACCTGGTTAGTATTTTATAGTAATAATAGTTCAATGTTATTTAATCCCATATTTAACTTCTTCATATTTTCAATAACCCGTATTTAAATAAAATTTCACTGTAATAAGCTGGTGTGCTGGCACACACCTTTAATCCCAGCACTCAAGAGGCAGAGGCAGGCGGATCTCTGTGAGTTCAAGGCCAGCCTGGTCTACATAGTGAGTTCTGGGACAGCTGGGCTACAGGGAGACCCTGTCTCAAAAAGACCAAGAAAAAAAATTTTTTTATTACATTTGCTGGGTGTGGTAGACACGCCTTTAGTCCCAGCACTCAGGAGGCAGAGGCAGGCGGATCTCTGTGAGTTCGAGGCCAGCCTGGTCTACATAGTGAATCCAGGACAGCTGGGCTACAGGGAGACCCTGTCTTAAAAAGACACACACACACCAAATTTCACTGTAATAAAAAATTAAATAAAACTCCAATCATTTCAAGAGTGTGGTAATTACTTCCATGTTCTTTGCTCCCTGTCTTATACAGGGGAACAGGAGAAAAAAAGAAAAGACTCCTTAAGTGATAAAATCTGACAGACATAAGGATATCTGGGGAAAAGTATAGCAAAGAAAGAAATTGAAAGTATCACATCCTGTGCATGTGGGGTTCTTTCATGCTATTTAAGGATTTAATCATTCTCTCTTCCCCCACTTTTCCCCCTCTGCTTCACCCCCTTTCTTGACAGAGTCTTGCCATGAAGGCCAGGCTGCCTTCAAGTTCATGATCCCCCTTGCTTTAGCTTCTGAGGACCACAAGCACCCCTTGCCTAACTTCATAATCTCTCCTTTTTTAAACAAAGCTTTATTTCATCTTCAGTTATATGTGTGTGTCTGTGGACACCCAAGTGAAGGTGCCCGTAGCGTGGAGAAGAGGTGTCAAATCCACTGGACTGGAGTTAGAGGTGATTGTGAGCCACCCAGTATGGGTACTGGGATCTGAACCTAAGTCCTTTACAAGGGCAGTGCATAGTCTTTAACTTCTGAGCCATCTCTCTAGTCCCCTCGTAATCTATTTGAAAGTAAAAATACAGAATTGCCTGTGCTTTGAAATAATTAGTTGGAAATGGGATACAAAGGAAACCGGTATCAATGAAAAGGGTGAAAACTGGACTTGAAAATGAGTTTCAGGAAATAATAAAAAAAGAGAAAATGAAATCTAATTTATTCTAGAAGTGGGAATCTGACTATTAAGACTTTTAAATGAGTCTAAGGGAAAAATAAAGTCAGCAAACAGGAAAATCAAGTATCTGCTCTATTTCAATAAAAAATATTGACATTAATCAAAATTAGGGTCTTATTTTTTATATTCTTTATTTTTTTTTGGATTAATTTCTTTTTTTTGGATTAACTTACGTTTTAATTATTACAAAACCAAAACCCAAAGGTAACATTCTATGTAAAGTCATTTTGAAACTTTACATTAATTTACCTGTTCAAATAACAGAATGACAATAACACCTTATTTATATGATAAACCCTTTACTGAAAACAGAGTTAAATGAAAAAAAGGTTACAAAAAGCTCTTGGGAATTTATTTTTATTTTTTGGTCTTTTTGGGACAGAGTCTCCCTGTAGTCCCTGGAACTCACTATGTAAACCAGGCTGGACCTGAACTCAGATCCATCTGCCTCTGTCTCCCAAGCTCTGGGATTAAAGGCATGCGCCACCAACGCCTGGTAAAAGGTTACAAAAAACTCTTGGGAATTTTTACAAACATCATCTCAATAAGACTATTTTCTGAAGTGATTGTTTTTTTTGAAGTCGAAGAGTATTTTATTGGAGTTTGAGAAAAATAAGAGGGTAGGCAAGCTGTAAGTGTGAGCAGGTATGGGGAAGGAGGAGCTGGGTAAAGAGGGAGATGGACATGGCTTTTGAGCTAGGATCTATGAGGATTGGTCTTGGTTGATGACCTGACACAATATAGAACTACCGGGGAGGAGTCTAGACGAGGGACTGTTTAGATCAGGTTGGCCTGTGGGCATGTCTATGGTGGTTTTTCTACTTAACTTTTTTTTGGGGGGGGGGTCTTTTTGAGACAGGGTCTCCTTATAGCCCCAGCTATCCTGGAACTCTCTATGTAAATGAGGTCAGTCTCCAACTCACAGAGATCTGTCTGCCTCTGCCTCCCAAGTACTCGGATTAAAGGTGTGCACTACTATGCCCAACTATTTAAAAAATTTTATTACATTTATTTATCTGTGGGGGCCTATGCACACTGTGAGCGCATGCATGCCATTGTGTATATGTGGAGGTCAAAGGACAACTTCTGGGGAGTCATTTCTCTCCTTCTACCAGGCAGGTTTCAGGGACTGAACTCAGATCTTCAGGTTTGGCAATAAGCACCTGCTGAGTCATCTCACTGGACTGGGCTTTTCTTAATTGGGTCAACTGAGGTGGGAAGACCTATTCTGAATAGGCAGCAGCATTTCGTGGGTTAGGCCTGGAACTGAAAGAAAAGGGGAGAGTGAGACTGTGGATGTAATATGACTAGCTGCTTCAAGTTCTTGCTGCCATGACTTCTCTGCAATGAGGGGCTGTGACCTGGAGCTTTGAGTCAGATAAACCCTTTCTCACCTACACTGCTTTTGTCAGGGTATTTTATCACAATAAGAGGAAACAAAACCAAGACCGGGTCCAAGAAAAGAGGTGTGCTGGGGAATGGAGCTCCCATTCTACAAGGGGAATGTAGAAAGTGAAGGTGGGGAGCAGAGTTCTTCAGAGCAAACAGGGAGAAAGCCCAGAGTGGGAGGGAAGCATGTTTAGGGTTTGGGCTGGTATTCAAAGAAGAGGTGCAAAGGGGAAAGGTAAAGATGTAGTTCTTGAGCTAGAACTCAGAAAAGTGGGACAGCCTAGCCAGCAGTGATGATCTGCAAGGAACTATTCAAACAGTTTTTATGAACTTATTTCATATAATAAACAAAACAGCAAATCAGCTTTATCTTCTATTTTATGAGATTCCAAGTATGTGACAAATTGATTCTAAAATAAATACCAGAAAATACTAAAATTATATTTAAAATTTCTGCTCATGTCATGTTTTTTATATAGAACAATAAAACTCTTTACCTGTATTGACGAGAGCACTGCTATTGTACAGTGTACCAAGGTGAGGCCCAGAAAGAGAGAGAAAGGTATGAAGTTTGCTGAGGTAATATTTAAACCGTGGCCTTGTGAGCACTGAACGGATTATTAAATTGCCCAATGAATGTCCAATAAAGCTTTAAAAGAGAGAGAGACATTTCTTTCACGATGTTAGTTTTAAAAGCAAAACCAAACAACTCTCCAACAAAACTCCCTAAATGTGATACACTAGATACAGATTATTTTGAAATACCAGGAATTTCAAACTGTTTTCAAATCATAGTTTAATACGTTAAGTGCTATAACTTGTATAGGAAAATCACAAACTACAGATCTTAATTATGATTTATATGTTTACAAAAAACTTTTTTTTTTTTGGTCTTTTTGAGACAAGGTCTCCCCAACTGTCCTGGAACTCACAATGTAGACCAGGCTGGCCTTGAACTCAACAAGTTTTCCAGTTATCACAATTGGCAACAGTGTAGAAATATCTTAAAAAATAGTAATAATATAAGCCGGGCATGGTGGCACACGCCTTTAATCCCAGCACTAGGGAGGCAGAGGCAGGTTGCTCTTTGCGAGACTGAGGCCAGCCTGGTCTGCTTAGCAAGTTCCAGGCCAGATGTGGGGCTACGGGTAGATCCTGTATCAAAACAACAACAAAAATAAAATAAAAACGGCAATATAAAAACCAGGTCATAATTGAAATATACATGTAAATTCTTTACTTGTTAAGCCATAATTTCAAATATAATGAAATTATACATATAAGACAATTTACAAGAAAGCACCTGTTTTTCTTTTTCTCTAGTTTATAATTTGAAGGTAGGCAGTTTGAGAAAACAATAAAGGACTTAGAGAGCTAGCCCTGAGGTTAAAGTGCTTGTCTTGAGAGCATGAGGACCCCAGTTCAATTTTCAGAACCCTCAGTTTAAAAAAAAAAAAGCTAGGGACCAGAGAAATGGCTCAGCAAGTAAAAGAGGTACCTGCTGCTAAGCTTGGTGACCTGAGTTTGATCCCTGGAATTGACATGATGGAAGGAGAGAACTGACTTGTCCTCTGACCTCCACATGTGTGCTATGTCTCTCTCTCTCTCACACGCACACATACAAAACAAAAAATAAATATAATTTTAAAAGAGCTGCATGGGGGCTGGAGAGGCAGCTCAGTGGATAAGAACACTTTCTGTTTTTCCAGAGGACCTGGGATTGATTCCCAGCACCCACACGGCATCTCTGTTGCCCTCTTCTGGCCTCTGCAGGAACTAGACACATACCAGTAAATATAATGGCCATCAAAACACTTGTACAAATAAAAATAAATAAATCATTCAAAGAAAAAAAGGAGCTGGATATGGATGTGCATGTTTGTAATCTCAGTGCTGGGGACTGGTAGATCCCTGGGATCTATGTGTGAGCCAGGTAGTCTGGTACTTGAGTGGTCCAGGCCAGGGAGAGACTCTGTCTCAAAATCAAGGCAGAGCACGTCTGAGGAATGACACCCAAGGTTGCCCTCTTATCTCTACACATATGCAACAAAAAGATTTTAAGAAAACATAATAAAAAAATTAAACATAATAAAAAATTTAATTGACATGTAATATTTACATGTATCTATGGGCTACAATGAGGTGATTCAAACCATGTATACATCATCAAATCAGGTAATAAGCATTTGCGTCTCCTCAAACATACATCATTTCTATCTGAGGGGAAATTTTCACTCTTCTAGTTATTACATAAGGAAATCAGACCATTTTCAAAGCACAAGTAAAATATCTGCTGCCGCCGATCTATTTTGTTTCAATAGCTCTTTCTGAACGTTTTATTTAATAATATAGCTTTTCCTTAAAATCCTCCAAAAACGGTGTGTGTGTGGTGTATGCATGTGTATGTGTTCATGTGCACTTGTACGCAGGGCACATGTGTGCACATGTGTAAAGGCTGGAGGTTAACACTGAGGATCTTCTATCACTCTCTACCCTAGTTTTTTACACAGGGTCTTTCAATGAACCCAGTGCTCACCGAATGGCTAAACTGACTGGTCACTGAGCTCCAGGGATCCATTTGTCTCCATACCCCCCTGCCCCCAAATGCTAGGGTTATAGATGCATGCCACTTTGGCTTTTACATGGGTTTTGGGGATCTAAACTTAGATCCTCATGTTTGTGCAGCAAGTGCTTTTCCAACTGAGCCATCTCCCTAGCCCTAAATTCCTTTTTCCTTTTCTTTAATGAGTTATAGTTTCTTCTATTTTATTACACTCAAAAATTTTTGTTTATTTTGAATGGGTTTGTACATATGTGTGTACAGGCCTGCATGTTAGTGTTCGTGTGGAAGTCAGAAGATAACTTGTGGGGTTTGTCAGTTCTCTGTCCATCACATGGGTCCTAGGGAACTCAGGTTGCTGTCAGGCTTGGCGGTAGGTACCTTTACCAGCTGAGCCATCTCTTCAGTCTGTTTCCTATATTTCAGATTAGGTTACCAGCACTACAAACTGTTTAGTCCTTCTATAAGTCATAGGAATATAAAAATAAACTGTGTAATATTATAGAAGTTACCTTATTTTTGAGACTGTTAAACTATATATCTGAATATACTGTATGATTTCATCCAAAAGACGATCAGTCATGCTATCAAAATCAGCGAAAGTATCATTCTAAAGAAAAGGAAAGCATATTATGCACTAAAATGCATATAATGACACAAAAACTGAATATAAACATAATTTTTAATTCAGGTGTTATCAATAGTGTAGGCCATTTTTTAGGCAAGTTAGTGACTGTAGTATTCATTATATTAAAACCAGCAATAAAGATCAAGTTTCTAGGGAAAAGGAGGTTCAGTATTCTTTTTTTTTTTTGGATACAGGATCTCCCTGTAGTCCCACAAATGGCCTGGAATTCACTATGTAGATCAGGCTAGCTTCAATCTCACAGTGATCCACTTGCCTCTGCCTGGGATTAAAGGCATGGCCCACTACGCCCCGCAGCCTAGTATTCTTAATAGCCCTTGAAATATTTAGTTATTTATTTAGGTCACTAGCATTAAATATAGAGCCACTTAAACTATAAAAATGTTTCATACGTAAAAAGAACTCATAAGGCAAAATGTGTATCATGTATTTCCTTTGGATATGCATTTATGGCAAATTTCATAGAAACCCAAAAGTATTTCTATTAACAAAGGCATTTTTCAGCACGCAAATACTTAGATAGAAACTGGCACAAGAATGTTTGCTGCTACTCACACACTGCCTTACTGTACCTGATTTCTCTCAGACATAAGAAAATCAACTCTTCCCCCAGGCAGTCCAAGTTCAATATACGTTTTTACTAGTCGGAGATCTGCACTGTTACCTAGAAAATGGAAAACCATGTTTAAAGGATTGGATGAAGTAAAAAGTGAAAGTACACTATCATATATTTTTACAGTTTTTAGAAGGAGAAAATTCATGTCTTGTGCCATTTGTTGGTGGTATGTTCTGTAAGACAGCTCTCAACTTCGATGTGAAGGCTGATTTCTGTGAGTCAGGCAATGTCCTTTCAACAGCTTATTTCTTAGGAGCTTTGGGTCTGGCTGATGCTTTCACTTACCCACCTAATAGTTCATATACCACTTGGTGGCTAACTGGCCACAGCAGCTGGGACTAGTTTCTCATCATCATTGCCCTGGGTGAACTACAGCAAAGCTTGAATGCATTTTACATTCAGAATTAATCTTGTTTACTTTCTTTTGGAGGCTACGATAATTTAATGACTATTAACTACAAATGTTTATAAGTGTATGTGTAATACAGATATAAAATAAAAGATGGGTTTTTATTTGATTCCTTTTGTTTAATGACAATATACACATGCCACTGTAAAATGTTGGATTTTTATTTTATCCTTCTAATATTTATGCATGATTAATATATAATTCTTTTATTCCTAGTTTTAAAAAGAACACCTCTGGTTATGAAGTTTAAGTTTACATGGCCTGGAAATAAGCTTGCTTAATCACTTTTATGAATTAGAGAGTAGTTCTAGTTAGTATTTACTGTTGGGTGCATAGCTTTGTTCATTGGGAATGGACATCAAATCTTATCAATTATTTTACTTGATTTGCTGATGTATCTGTTTAAAAATAAATTTCTTTGTATTTATTATTGCACTCTGGCAATTAAAGTTTGTTGTAACTTACTTTAAAATACTGATTCTACTTGCTAGAGTTTTATTACATATATTCATGTCAGACATCTACTATGGTGGGGAGTGTTGGTATATTATCATCAGACTTGGTATCAAAGGTAACTAATGAATAGACTGCACCCCATCTTTTTTCTACTGTTCTGAAACAATTTATGTGATCTAGGGATAATTTGTGTTCTGAAATTTTCAGTGAAGAATCTACCAGAAGAGTCTATAATCAAGAATTATTTTTGCAATATAATTCTTTAAAATTTTTATTAGTAAGGACAGGGATAAAAAGTTAGTATTGAAGATACTTTATCTCTTGAAGAATCCTTTTTTAAAAAGGAAAACCTCAAATTCCATAATTTATTATCAAAGTCCTTTGTTTAATATTTTTATAGTCCATAAAATTTAGTTTGTTGTTACAGAATTACATTACAGTGATAGATCCTGTTTGTCTAGATTGGCTTTTCTTAACAGTTCCTCAACCCAGGGGGGCATGTAACTACATTGGTGTCTGAGAAACCAATGTAGTTATCATAAAGCTACAGCACCAGAGCCAGGTATTTAGAATTTAGTGGTGTGGTACCTTAATTACTAGGAATACTGATTTTTTTTCCAGATTGTAAAGTTTAAGAATCAAGGCACAAGAGAACTAGGAAGATTTTCAAAATGATACAAAATGATAGTCACAAGGTGGCTTGACAAAGCTAGTAAGAGAAAAGATAGAAAAATATGTAAAAAAAAAAAAAATCAAACAAAATGCCTGTGAATGAATGTCAGTTCCATGGCAAATTTACTTTAAAAAGAAATCTAATATTCCACCTAGTAAAGTTAGGCTACTTCTGTTTCAGAATGTATTTAGTATTCAAGTAGTTAAGCAAGTAAACATTTTTTAAGTTCAAAGATTACAGAAAATCAAATGAGATCAGGAGAAGACAAGTTGTTATGGGTTGCATCAACAGATGTTATATACCATCTAAACCATGCACGCAGACAATGAGATGGACACCATCTTCAGAACCATCTTCTTCTTCCATGCTGAAATAAGGTACTGAGGATGCCAGCAGAGGAACATCACTGTACATGAACCCAGGGAGTTTAAGTTGCTTCAGTTCTTCTTTTGCCTGAAGGAAGCTGAAGTAAAATATTATAAAAGATGTCCTTTACTACAGATCATCGGCTTTAGAAACAAAGAGGATATAGGGAATTTAAGAGAATTGCACAAAAAAGCCCAGCAGTATTTGGTTTTAAAATCATGAAAACATGTGGGATCACATGATTTAAAATCAAAGGATACTATTTTTGATACTTTCAGCACACCTTCTAGTCAGATACCATGAACATTTTAAGCCTGAAGCCACTTTAAAATATTCTCTTAAACTTGAAATCAGTAATACTAAGAAAATGCTAGAAGTGGTTTACACTCTGAACAATTAAATATTGTATGCATAAAATAACTAAAGGAGGAAATGGGAAAAATGGCAATCATGTATTAATCATGCTATCAAATCCTTTCTTCTTTGTTCTCTTATGTTATAAAGAGCAGAAGCAAAGAAGTCCTATAAAGCACACCAGTGAGAATGGTATTCAGTAGGGTTGGTTACTCCAATGTTTCTTTAAAAATACTAGTAAGGAGCCAAACCAGCAACAAGAGGGTTGTGTGACTGTAATTGGTGGTATATACTTATTTGAAATGATCAACAAATCTAACTTGAGGATTGTAAGCATTAAAACTGCCATCTAACATTATACCATTTGGCTGAGAATAGTGTAGCTGTAGAAGTTGACGAGCACCAGGCTAAGCAGTGCATGCTAGGGGAACACATACAGACTCTGCTTTCTGTGACTCAGAGAAGCTGCGCAGTACCCAGCAGGTGGACCATTCTTTGTCTCTTGCTATACCACTGTTGAAATCAATGACTATCACTACACCCTAGCTTTGGGCTTTATAGATCTTAATCTTACACATAGTACACAGAAAAATCTGTGAACTTTAAAAATCTACCATACACATGCCCAGCCCAGACTTCTCACCCAGAGATTATGATTTGGTTTGGATTGAAACAGAAGATTTTTAAGAATCAGTGTATGCAGACGGATCTATTACTGTTTCAAAAAAATCTCATTTCTGAAAGCAACTGACTTAGGCAACTACAATCTGGTAGGTTTAAGGAGTTTCTACAAGTGTGTTATCTAATCAGGAGTTTCTAGCCTAGAGAACAGGACCATTTGGAAGCAGTTTGTCAAAAATATGTTGTGCCCATTTCTCCATTTTAAACAGTGAATCAAAGGAACACATTTTGTTAAAGGAAACAGAAGAAGAAAATAGACATTCCATTCTTTAGTACCATATCTGATATTCTGTACACAGACTTAGTAGCATATAATACTGAGTTCCATTACTTACGCTTGTATTTGAGGTTTTGGTGAGTTTTCATACCAGGAAATTGAAGAAGTGAAGTTGTAAGAAATGCTGCTTGGCTGCTTTGTAATGGCATCAAATTTACTTCTAGAAGAGTATTTAACACTACAAGGAGACTCTCGTGGAGCAGAAGGGAAAGACAAACAACCCGAAGTACAAACAGTAGGCACATTCACACTGTCCCTCAGATAGTCACTGTTCACTTCTTCAGATTTTAGATGCCTTTCCTCTGTTTGCACATCTCTGCTGGGAAAGTGAGCATTTATAGTTCCACCCAAAGCTGAAAAATCTGTTTCTTCATAATACCCATTTTGAATCATTTGTTGATCCTGTTCTTCCTCCTCCTCATCTTTGCCCTGTTCCTGCTGAAGGTCACTGATTCCTTTTTCACAGGTTTCCTTCTGAGGGCTAACTGAGTTGTGGTAGCTAACAGCACGTATGTCCGAAATATCTGTACTGCTCTGAGAACCAAAATAATTTTCCACAAGCCCTTCTTTTACCATATCAGTACTGGCTGAAAGAGGGTCACTCGAACCCAGATGAAGTTCATGTTCAATTGAAGGGGCTTCTGAATACATTTGTTTGAGACTTAATGGGTCACTACTTTTTCTTTCCACAGTTCCCTCTTGACTTAGTTCTGAATTAGTAGAAACAGAACCCGAAACAACACAAGGAGTGCCTAAGCAAATCAGTTCTGACTGTATTGCGATCACGGTTCCTGCAGAGTTGTTATTAGATGTATCATGACTCTGGGAGCCTTTAAATATAGGGTCCAAATTAGGCTGGGAGCTACAACTACTTTTCACATCACTAGAAGTATCTTTATCTGAAAAAACATGTTGTAAAGGGTCTTCAGTGCTTGAATTTAAGGAATGTATTGCTAAAGTTTCATTGTCCAAATGCCCTGAAAATACAACACATTGAGGCTGCAAAATAATACTTGACTTTTTAGTATCATCACACTTTGGCAAATCCATTGTTCCTAGATTTAATACAGTTTTACTATCACTTAGATGGCATTCAGGCACAGAAGATTTCTTAGAATTTTCATCAGGTGAGAGTTCATCATCAGAAGGTAGAGAGTTTATTGATGTCAAAGATGACTGTATTTCACTTAAAGCACTTGTACTCTCAGTACAGTGACTTCCTAATGAAAACTTGACATTGTAATCAGGTTTCATCAAAAGCTGAGGAAATAACCTTTCATTATGGTAAGGACCTTGCCCTTGGCCAGTTTCAGAGACTATTTCCAGGTTTGGATGTGTTGCAAAAGAGCTTGGTTCACTTTCAACACCTGAATCTGAAAATCTAGATGAGGCATATGTGGCATTAGTATCTGGTAATTTAATTGTATCTCCACTTACTACAACATGATATTCTTTTGTAGGAGCAGGTAGATTATTTCTTAATTTAGCTAATGATTCTCCAAAAGAATGACATTTTGCTTCCTGTAAAGCCTCCTTTTCAAGTGTTATTTCTATAGACTTGGATTTACCATTAGAGTCTAAGGATTCAAAAGTGGATAGAAAATTATCTACAAATATTTCATCTTGTTGAAGCTCTGTCCAAGGTCCTATTTTAACAGTTATTTTCTCTCCATCGAAAGGATTTTTATTGGTGGAATTTACTTCAAGTGTTTTAACTGCTGAAGATGGGGTTGTCTGACAGTCATGGAAATCATCTGATGAACTTCTTGATGCCAGATTATGTTCCATGTGTGTGATATCACTATCGTCCTGGGAGATACCAAGTTTACCTGAAATGGACAAATGCGCACAAAGATTTAGGCTGCCAGAGTTCAAGGGATCAAACTGGTCTGGTTGCACATTTTCAACATCTGGAGACTTTTGTTCAGTTCTCTCTGTATTAGCTGGCAAAGAGCTAGCTTCCTTTTGACTTGTCTGTCTGATGTAGGTCTTTGGGTCAAAATTATATCCACATATTGTGGGATCCAGACCTTCTTTCTGACTATGTGCAGGATTGCCTTCAAAGCATTTACTAAGATCACTTGATGGTGTACTTTTCAAACATCTGTAGCTTACTAAAATCACAGAATCTTTAGAGTTCTGTTTTATTAACTTTTTTGTGTTCTCTTGTTTCATTGTTTTCATGAGCTTAGTGACCTTAACTTTGGATTTATTTAATTCTTCATTCTTTCCTTTTTGAGACTTTGTTAGCTGCTTTTCACCATCTGTACAGCATATACTGGAGGCACCAGCAGTTCTGACTTTCAACTCTGGGCTAGAAAGTCCTGCTACAGAGCTTTCTTCAGTCTCATATTTATCCATTCTACTGGACTCTGATATCTGAAGAGTCTGAATTCCCGTCCAGGGTGCATCTAAGTCTTTTATCCAAAGGAAAAAAGATTCAAGTTTATATCAAGTACGAGAACCCATAGGATCAAGACTATTTTTTCTAACTACAACTTTCTAATATCCTCAAAAACAAAACTAGAGGGGAAAATTATTTTGTAAGGGAACGGTTTATGTATATTTGGAAGAATATGCTAAAATTGACATACACAGCTTATGTATTTTAGTTAGATTATACTTACCTTCAATAACTGAATCTAAATACCTATCTTCAAAGATTATAGGTAATGAATTGAGATCTCCATCTAATTCACTACATTCAATAGGTAGGGGTGGAAGAGAACTGCAGAAGGAAGTATTTTTGATAGCGGTGCACATCTGTAGATGACTCTGAGCACTGAAAAATATTTCTTAAGTCAGATTGTAATGAAAAGATAATTAGACCCATCTCCACTTTAATTCCACCCTGTTCTCTTCCCCCACCAGGCCTATCCCTCTTAAGATACAACTTTCCTAGGAAAGAATTTTTTGATCAGAGACAAAACTGATAAAATGAAAATTATGGATTATTGACAATAAAGTACTAACATACAAAATTACAGTTTGCTGACAAATGAACTTTTAGTTCATCCTATCATTTCCCATGTTATTTCAAGATGAGCGTCTACGATTCCTGTGTGCAAAGAACACACAGAAGAACTACCCGAAGTGCAATGCCTACTGATTACTTGATGTAACACTGAGAAGTATTTTCCATGCAGTTTATTTCTTAGTACACACTGCAAAATGCATTTAATAGCTACTTAAAACAAAATATAAACCCTCTAATACAAAATAGTTGCTAAAAAGTCATCTCGTGGAAAATTTTAAACAAATCAAAATAAACTAAACCAGTATAAAAAACAGCATGTACTTATCACCAAGCCTCAACAGTTAACGCCTGTCCTTGCTTTATCTCAATATTTACTCCTTACTACACCCACAGTTATTGTATTTAGGTGTTTTCAGGAGGTAAAATATATATGCACTGAAATAAACAACTCTCACCTACATGATTTGACAAATTAATACATGGCAAAGAACATTTCCTTGTTTACTCGTGTCTTCCCAATTCCCAGCTCAAGTCAATGTCAAGAGGACCAATGTTTTGACTTTTATCACCTTATTTTTACTTGTTCAGAACTATTACACACACACACACACACATGCACACACACACAGTATTCACTCTTCTGTGTCTGCCTTATTTTTCTCAGTGTAATATCTTCAAAAATTCTTCAAAGCCAAAGAAAACAAGACTTAAATACATTCAGTAGGAAAGACGAAAGGCATTTCTTTCATTTTATTTTGGATATTTTAACTGTAAATCGTTTACATAACAGAAGGCAGTGCTAGTTGAACTACTGTGAAATCTGATATGAAAAGGATGAATGTAAATTTTCTGACTTGTGAAAACAGAGACAGAACATGGTGGCCAAGTGGAGGCCAGAGCATGGACACTCTGGGACTGTCAAAACTGTAACAAATCTGCTGTAAGTAGACATAGGCAAGTTCATTATTATTATTTTTTTTTAATGCAAAGTAAGGGTCCTTAGTAAGGCAAATCATAAGATTAAACCCAACCTGATTAGAGTTCTGAACTTCAAATTCCTTCTATTTAAAGACTACCAAGTCTGTCATTAATACATTCTGAGATAGACATCTTATGTAAAAGGAAATACAATTATTTGCATTTCAGGTCTGTGCTACTTACTGGAGTTCCTGGTATGCAATGGCAGCTTCTCTTGGATGTTCAAAACAAAAGAATGCCTCAGAAAACCTGCGAACCTAAACAATTTTAATAAGGGGTGTTAATATCATGGCACATTTAGCAGTCAATATGCAATGAATGGCAAGGAGGGATGCTGTCTCCACTAGGCATGCCATAACTATTCCTGTGAGAATTAAACAACTTCTCTCTTCCTCCAGTAGTGCCAAATAACTGCATTTCTACATTGCATGACATAAAAACACAACAGAATGGAGTGGAACGCTACTTGACTCATCTGCCTTGTCTGCAGTATCCAGAATGATGGGGAAGTGATGGAAGGCAGTGCAAGGTGCCAAACTTCATCTAGTTTATATGCTAGGTATGTATGTGCCCACTGAACTGACTGATTTATTAGCATTGTGACTTTGGGTATTTGACCTCTGAGCCTCAGGTGACTCATTTTCAAATTACATTTAGTATCTATTCTGTATATAGCACTGTGAAGAACAAACAACATATGTGATAGTGATTTGTAATCTATAAAGTCTACATAAATGCTATTATAAATACTATTTAAACATTCATATTTGGCCTTGTATACACAAATCATACATCTTCCCAATATGTGATGTACTTTAGAATAGGAACTATGCTTTAAAAAAAAGTTTGTTTATGTATGTGTGCCTTGAGTGTATGTATATGCACCATGTGAGTGTAGATGCCTGCAGAAGAGGATGTTAGAGCTCCTGGAACTAGAGTGATGGGGTGGTGAGCCACTTGATGTGGGTGTTGGGAACCAAACCTAGGTTCTCTGCAAGAGCAGCATGTGCTTTTTCACTGTTGAGCCATCTCTCCAGCTCTGGAACCCTGTTCTGATGACCTTTGTGCTTGAATGTATTTCAGCATGTTATAAAAAAGAAAGTACTTTGTAAAAACATACTGAATTTAGCTGACTACTTCTTTCATTAAGTTTGTATTTTGACCCTTTCAGTTTTAATTATGGAAGGAAAGGTTTTGTTAGCTACTGGGGCACTGTTAAGCAAATTAGGAGAGGGAAAAGATATCTTGGTTGGGGTGCACAGAGGAGAGAGAAATTATGTTACATGTTCAAATCATATTATGTAGAATATATTTACCCTTTTATTATGTGTATGCACACAGCGGCACCCATATAGAAGTCAGAGGACAACTTTGTGGAGTTGAACTCAGGTACCCAGGAGGCAAGCCCCTTTACCCACTGAGTCATCTCACTGGATTGAGGATATTTTTGTAATGGAAACACAATTTGGGATTCTTTGTTTTTAAATATATAATGAATTAGAGACCTATTTTACTTACCCATCAAGGTCTGGCTAGACAATTCTGCTTTACTAAATTTCCCTAAGCAGATGAGAATGAGGCTTAGGAAGAGCATGTCAACAAGGGGAGTGGAATGAAGCACTGATGAGAGGGTGCACCTGCGTACTAACTTTCAAATGTGGTCCGACTACAACCTGTGTCCCTCCAACACTAGAGGAAGAATGAAGAAAAATATCTACCTGTCTGACTGCAGGATTTTTTCCTGGTGACTATAAAGTACGAAGAATTATGTAGTTTTGTTATATTAACTGTACAAAGTCAGGTTTCATTATGAAGTTTTCATACATGTGTACTTCAATCATGCATTCTCTTTCCTTTGCCCTCCTTTGCCCCTTCCCCCTCCCTAGAAGAGCCTCTTTTCAGTTCCATGCCATGTTCCTTTTCTTTAGCTCCCACTTGATTCCTAGAGTTGTAGCTGTACCTGCACAATCGGCAAGATGCTAGGCCTTCTCCCTCATGGTCCTGATTTCTATGGTAACTATCATTTCTTACCAGTGTCCTACCTACAAGGCTCTATGCAAAGAGCCTTCATTCTTCGATTTCAATCATAAAAATTTTATGGAAATGCTATCTTCATTTATTAAGTACTGAAGCTGAGGTACATATGGCCAATTACATGGCCATGATAACACAGCTAGTAAGGGATAAACCTGGGGCTCGACTGAAGATTTGACAAACTCCAAATCTTGTGCTCTAAAGTACTTGATCTTTTTGTGTTTCTATACCAAAACATGTATCAGAAATTTGCACTCATGTGAGGTTCTTTTTCTAAAATCTCTCACAAGTATTAGCACATGGGTGACTAATTATATTGGGTCTATTAACTGCATTGTATCGCCAAAGCTAAAGTACGACTGCCACCTGATGGCAACACATGTATTAAAAGTGGTTAGGTTTACAACTTTAAATTGAGGATACAAAGTATATTATTGCTTTGGTATAGCTGCACATAAAAGTGACTTTGGTTATATACCCTATTTACCCTATACCCTATTTAAAAAATTATTTATTTGGCAACATGGCAACTACTTAAATTTAGCAAATTGAAAAAGAGCTAAGAATTCAAAATGGGTATTTAATATTAATGCTTTAAAGGGTTAAATGTTCCTTTACTTGAG